CACGCGCCACCATGCCCAGCTAATGTTTTGTATTTTTAGTAGAGACGGGGTTTCACCATGTTGACCAGGATGGTCTCGATCTCTTGACCTCGTGATCCACCCGCCTCGGCCTCCCAAAGTACTGGGATTACAAGCTTGAGCCACCGCGCCCGGCCTATAATAGTCATTTTAATCTTCTGATTAATTAATTTTTTGAGATGAAGTTTCACTTTGTTACCCAGGCTTGAGTGCAGTGGCATGATCTTGGCTCTCTGCAACCTCCGCCTCCCAGGTTCATGCAATCCTCCCACTTCAGCCTCCTGAGTAGTGGGAACCACAGGTGTGCACCACCATGGTCGGCATATTTTTTGTATTTTTGATAGAGACAGGGTATTGCCATGTTGCCCAGGCTGGTCTCAACTTCCGAGTTCAAATGATCCACCCACCTTGGCCTCCCAAAGTGCTGGGATTATAGGTGTGAGTCACCATACCCAGTCTTCTGATTTTAAAATAAATTAAAATGAAGATATTTTGTGGGCCCCTGATGGAGTCATGGTCCCTAGACACTGTGTCTATTGTGCCTAATGATAAGTCAGCCCTGGGTAGATGGTATTTCTGTTAGCAGCTCGGGGACCTTGGCAGACAACTGCATGCGGCTGTCTGGGGATGTTGGGCACCCACTGGTACTGCCCTGAGATTTCCCCCACTGGCCATCTGTAGGTACTGCAGGTGGGCTGATGGGAGGGCTCTGAGGCACTGCCTAATGCTTCTCAGCCCTGCTGTCTTCACAGGCAGCAGGATGGGAGCTGTGGTTTGCCTGGGGCACCCGATCCTATTTTCTCTGTTTCTGTTCAATCTCTTATCTACTTAATGGGATTTTATTAAAATCACATTCTCAGGGACTGGGTGTGGTGGCTCACACCTGTAATCCCAGCACTTTGAGAGGCCAAAGCAGGTGAATCACCTGTGGTCAGGAGTTTGAGACCAACCTGGCCAACATGGTGAAACCCTGTCTCTACTTAAAATACAAAATTAGCTAGTGTGGTGGTGCACACTTGTAATCCCAGCTATTCGGGAGGCTGAGGCAGGAGAATCACCTAAACCCAGAAGGTGACGGTTGCAGTGAGCCAGGAAGCAGTGAGCCAGGATTGTGCCATTGCACTTCACCTGAGCCACAAGAGCAAAACTCCATCTCAAAAACAAACAAACAAACAAACCCAGAAAAACAAAACAAAACAAAAACAACCCACTCTCACCTCTCCTGAGAATTGGTCACATTAATTTTTGTTAGTAAAATTAAGAGCAAAATGTTATATAGCACTTGTTCAGTATTACACAGACAAGGAAACAAAGACTCAGATAACTTGGTTAAAACAGAGGTAGGGCTCGGTACAGGGCTTGTGCCTGTAATCTCAGCTACTCGGGAGACTGAGGCAGGTGGATCACTTGAGACCAGGAGTTTGAGACCAGCTTGGGCAACATGGGATAGTGAGATCCTTAATCGAAAATAAAAATTAAGTAAAATAAGCCAGGCGTGGTGGCTCACACCTGCAATCCCAGCATTTTGGGACACCAAGGTGGGCGGATCACCTGAGGTTGGGAGTTCGAGACCAGCCTGACCAACATGGAGAAACCCTATCTCTACTAAAAATACAAAATTAGCCAGGGTGGTGGTACATGCCTGTAATCCCAGCTACCTGGGAGGCTGAGGCAGGAGAATCGCTTGAACTCGGGAGGTGGAGGTTATGGTGAGCCATTGCACTCCAGCCTGGGCAACAAGAGTGAAACTCCATCTCAATAACTAACTAACTAACTAAATGAAGTAAAATAAAGCTGAGGTGTCAGTGCTGAAACCGGAACCTATGCAGCTTCCACCATTACCATGGGGTTCTTCATATCTGGCCAGAAGCTCCAGGTGAGACTTCGTTAAATATGACGGCCTAATAATGGATTTTTCTGACTAGGTGAATAACAATGATATTTAATTCTGTACTATGTACAGAATGTACACAGTATGTTATTCTACTACTAGTATGTGAAGTTCAATCACTTGCTGGGTCATAACTCCCGGTTTTTTACATTATAAGGTAGCTTCCCCCTTTTCAATTAGTGAATAAAATTTGTGAGGTGATTCAAAGCTGGTTTTGAAGGGGAAATGTGCTCCTAACTCATTAGCCTGAGAAGATGGTGGGAAGTGGGAGGAGTGAGGTACAGACTCACTGTGGTGTTTCTGGGTGGATCAGATCTTGTCAGGGAGTTAAGAATGGGCTTTTAGCCATCAATTTTGTTGTCTTCTCTTTTTTCAGATCCCTAACATTGCCACCATGTGCATAACCTAAAAAGATTTTTCCATAGGAAGCAAGGAATGAGGCTGGGCATGGCGGCTGATGCCTATAATCCTAGCACTTTGGGAGGCCGAAGTGGGAGGATCATGAGGTGAAGAATTCAAGACCAGTCTGGTCAAGACGGTGAAACCCCGTCTCTACTAAACTATAGAAATTAGCCAGGCACGGTGGCAGGAGCCTGTAACCCAGCTACTTGGGAGGCTGAGGCAGGAGAATTGCTTGAACCCGGGTGGCAGAGGTTGCAGTGAGCCAAGGTCCAGCCACTGCACTCCAGCCTGGGTGACAAAGTGAGACTCCATCTGAAAAAAAAGCCGGGCACGGTGGCTCACACCTGCAATCCCAGCACTTTGGGAGGCCGAGGCGGGTGGATCACCTGAGGTGAGGAGTTCAAGACCAGCCTGGCCAACATGGAGAAATCCTGTCTCTACTAAAAATACAAAATTATCCAGGCGTGGTGGCACATGCCTGTTAATCCCAGCTACTTGGGGGGCTGAGGCAGGAGAATCGCTAGAACCCTGGAGGTGGAGGTTGCGTTGAGCCAAGATCACGCCATTGCACTTCAGCCTGGGCAACAAGAGCCAAACTCCATCTCACACACACACACACAAAAGGAATAAGAAGGAATATGAACTATAAAATTAATTTGCCCCTAATGAACAGAGCACAGCGGTGTAAAACATCTAAAGCAAATACCCACATGCATAGCCTAGCTCTCTGACCTTGGGAACACCACCTTACCTTTCGGTTTCAATGTTTTCACCTGTAAAATGGAAAACATAACAGCTCATTCCTCCAGGGTGACTGTGGGGATAGATAATAGATGGCATATGTGAAGTGCTGGACACGTAATAGAAATCTACAGATTCTTTGTCCTTTTGCCCCATCTCAAAGCAAGGATGGATTCTTTGTTGTGCCAAAGAGCTGATCTTCCCCCTCTCTGCCGAAACACCCCCAGTGGCAGGAAACTCACTACCTACTATTGTTAGTCTGTATATTCCATGGCTGGGTAGTTTCTAGTCTTATAAACTGATACAGTGAAATTCAGTTTCCCATACCTTTACCTAGCACAGTGTTTGGCATATTATTGGCACTCAGATGTTTTAACACATGAACAGAAAAACTTGTTAATATTTCCTTTATCATCTTTAAGAAAAATAAGATTGGCTGGGCACGGTGGCTCACGCTTGTAATCCCAGCACTTTGGGAGGCAGAGGAGGGTGGATCACAAGGTCAGGAGTTCGAGACCAGTCTGGCCAATTATGGTGAAACCCCGTCTCTACTGAAAATACAAAAATGAGCTGAGGGTGATGGTGGGTGCCTGTAATCCCAGCTACTTGGGAGGCTAATGCAGAGAATTGCTTGAACCCGGGAGGCAGAGGTTGCAGTGAACCAAGATCGCACCACTGCACTCCAGCCTGGGTGACAGTGCAAGACTCCGTCTCAAAAAAAAAAAAAAAAAAAAAAAAAAAAAAAAAAAAAAAAGATTAATTCACTAGACTATAGGCTTTTTGAAGGTAGCTTTTTGGCACTACGCTTTCCTCAGTCATTATTTATTGGATAAGTAAAGAAAGATCTAGTTAGTAAAATATAGTCTGGCCATAAGAATACTTCAACACACACACATATATTTCTTTTTCTCTACGTATATATGAGATTATAGCTTTATTTTTTGAGCATATATGATGCTTTAACATAAAACATCACATTTGGTTTTTTGAGGGTGCTTATAATTTTCTGCCTCCCCACCCCCTTTTTATTGATGTACAGTTTAACATTCAAATAGAAAAGTGCACGTCTCATAAAGGCACAGATGGATGCATTTTCACAAACTGAACATACCTGTATGGAATCAAAACCGGGATCAAAAAGCATAAATTCCAAGTACCCCAGAGGTCCAACACATGCCACTCCCAATCACTGCTCATTCTGTTCTCCCAGAAATTACCACTATCCTGATTTGTTTTTGTTTTTGAGGGGGCAGATTCTCACTCTGTCACCTGGTAGTGCAGTGGCGCAATCTCAGCATGCCACCATGCCCAACTGATTTTTGTATTTTTAGTAGAGATGGGGTTTTGCCATGTTGTCCAGACTGGTCTCTAACTTCTGACCTCAAGTGACCTGCCTGCCTTGGCCTCCCAAAGTGCTGGGATTACAGGTGTGCACCACTACACCTGGCCCCCAGTATCCTGATTTTAACATGTAGACTAGTTTTGCCTGATTTTGAACTTTAAATAAGTAGACTAATATGACACATATTCTTTTTGCCTGGCTTGTCTCTCTTCATATTATGTTGGTGTGATCACCTCTGTTGATGATGTAAGGCCGGTTGCCTCACTGGTAGCTCGGACATACCCATCCCTCTGCCTAAAATTAGGTCACCAGAATCTGCACTCAGCATCTAGCTTCACCACGCCCACCTCTGCACTCAGCACTAAACTCTGCACTTGGCACGTAGCCCGCCGTTGGAAATCCCCTCTGCACTCAGCACCAGGATCTGCACTCGACACTAAACTCTGCACTCAGCACCTAGCCAGCCGTTGGAAAACCCCACCAAAATTTAAAAGAAGCCCCGCGAAGACCTGGCCAATAGCATATTGGCCTGTCCAGCCTGCTCACTGGAAATCCCGCCTACCTACCTATAGCAGCTTCCTACGTCCACGTCCTGTTTCTCCACAGCCAATCAGAGCGCCTTCCCTCCCTATATAACCCTACTCCTGAGCAGAGTCTGGCGTGACTTTCCTGGCCTCTTTCCCCGGGACCATTGAACCTTGCCCAAGCTGAATAAATTGGCATCTAATTGTTCTCATGCAGGCCTCAGTTTCCTCATTTTAAACTCGGCAATAGACCTCACAGAGAATAAACCTTACAGATGATATGAGGTAGGCATCAAGTTTCTTTTTTTATTCCATGTGAATATCCAATTGACCCAGCACCTTATTGAAATGATCCTTACCCAACCCAGACCTATTTTTTAAATACTGTTTTATTTTCTGATTATAAAATTAAGACACATGCCAAGCATGGTGATACGTGTTTGTAGTCCCAGCTACTTGAGAGGATGAGGCAGAAGGATGAGCTCAGGAGTTTGAAAACAGCTTGGGTAACATAGCGAGACCACCATATCTAAAAAAATAAAAAATTAAGACACATTGAAAAGTTTGGTGGCTCACACCTATAATCCCAGCACTTTGGGAGGCTGAAGCAGGCGGATCACCTGAGGTCAGGAGTTCAAGACCAGCCTGGCCAAGAGGGTGAAACCCCATCGCTACTAAAAATATAAAAATCAGCTGGGTGTGGTGGCACGTGCCTGTAATCCAAGCTATTTGGGAGGCTGAGGCAGGAGAATCGCTTGAACCTGGGAGGCGGAGGTTGCAGTGAGCCGAGATCCTGCCATTGCACTCCAGCCTGGGAGACAGAGCAACACTCTGTCTCAAAAAAAACCCCCCAAAATTAATTAAAAAAATATGTAATCACTTACCATCAAAGACACTTAAAACCAACAGTAAGTGCAAAGCTCTGCCTACTGGTGCATGCAAATGTATATGATCTCTCTATTGTTTTCACTACAGAACTTAGCTAAAGTAATTAGCTGAGTTAATTAAGTAAGAAAAACCTCCCTGGAGGCCAGCCTTCTCGATATTGGTCTGCATTCCCTGAACTCCCAGCTGAGGAGATGAGGTGATCTCTTGGTAGCTGGAGTGCCTATGTAAACTGTTTGTTTTTGCAAAAAAAAGCACTTAAAAGAGTTTGGGCAAAACTTGCAGTCCAGAGAAAAAAGTTAAAGTAACTACGTGGTTTGAGTGGATTCACTGTGTGTGAAAATGTATAATTGGTATTAACAGTGTATTACATCTTTGAACCTTAAATGCTCATAAAATGTTAGAGAAAATTGCTTTGATGTCCAATGTTTTCACTGTATAAATGATGTTCTGTTGATTGGCAAGCCAGAAATGTCTATTTTCTGTGTTAACAGCAGTCAGCATGGGTGACTGGTAAACCCCAACAAAACTCAGAGGCCTGCTTGCCAATTAAAATTTCTTGAAACAATGTGGGTGGATTCACAAAGCTGAACCTCTCCGGCAGTCAAAGAATTGTTGCCTCTTACAAAATAAGAACTCTATGTTCCCAGTACTAACACTACCGCTGCATGCCAAACTTGTAATTCTTGTCAAAAGCGGGCTCATTTATCTTCTAGTAAAAACAGGCCACACTAAATGGGATTCTGGCGCCACTTCTATTCGCAGCGATCTTTGACTCCCACCCACTCCAGGTTAATGGCTGTACTTTTCTTCCCAGGCTTTTCCTTTCTTTAGGTTGTTTCAGTCCATTCAGCTGAGTGGCCCTTGAAACTAATCTGTTTTTTTTTTTTTTTTTTTT